AGAGAGGCTGGCCACGGGTGGCAAGGATCTTCCTCCTCCTCCTCCTCCTCCTCGTTCTCCTCCTCCTCCTCCTCCCCCTCCTCCGCCTCCTCCTCCTCCTCCTCTTCCTCCTCCTCCTCCTCCTCATCCTCCTCCTTATCCTCCTCCTCCTCCTCCTCCTCTTCCTCATCGCTACCCACCCCCTCCCCATTCTGTGGCGAAGGGCGGGAGGAATGGGAGGTGGGGGGGGGGGGGCAAGAGGCGAGTACAGGGAGAGGAATGGTGGTAAGTCCACGATTTGAATTCGCAGCGCCACGAACTCGCCCCTCCTTCCCCATCCCTCTCATCACTCCTGCTTCTGCCATCCGCACGTGCTCATCGCCATTGCCCTCCTGGGCCAGCCTGAAGCCGTCTTGGGCGATTTGGCACGATCGCCGGGCGTGTCTGAGCATTCGTGGGCCGTCTTGGGCACACATCGGGACCGCCTCTGGCCCATTTGCACGGCTCGGCCACGATTTGAAACGCTCAAGGCAAGGGGGGCGCGGGGCCCTCTGGCGCAGTTTTGGCGGGCGTATTCGGCCGTCTTGGGGGCCAGCGAGGCTGTTGCGAGCGGCGCAGCAGACCTCCTGCGAGGGGCGTGCGGAGCAGGCGCCACCAAGCCACGAGCGGCAGAAATCTGGATGAGACCGCTGTCATCTGTGCTGCTGTCGTCGGGATCCGGGGATCGGGCGGGTTCCCGTGGAACGATTTGGCCCGAGCTCGATCAGCAGGTTGCAGTAGGCGCATGAATCTCGATGCTGGGAGTTGGCGCCGCGTCGGGTTGGGCAAGATTGTGCTCCGCATGTGCTGCCGACGGGTGGCGACTGCTGCCGAGCGCAAGTCCGCTGAAGTGTGCCCACGGGCTGGCGCCAGTCGAGACATCGTAGACATGGTCCTCCTCCCGGCGATGAGCGCGCGCGACCAGACCGCCTCGCGAATGCCCCAGGCCCCGAGCCACAGGTCGCGCTGGAAGGAGGATCAGGAGAGCCCAGGCCTTCCGGCAAAGAGTGGGCGAGATCGGCCCGCCGAGGAGCACGACCACGCGCGGCACGCAAAACGCCGCTCCGGTCCCCGAGGTCGGCCCGCTCCTCGCCTTCTGCCACGAGAGGCCACGTCACAGCACACCATTCCAAGCGATCACACGCCTGCCTGCCAAGGCTTCCCGACCTCGACGGCCCCGCGGTGAGGGCGGCCTGCCCCGTCCGCCCGGCGAGGGAGAGGGAGGCCGCGGACGGCCGCAGGCCCACGGCCGGCCTCGGAGCGCGGGGCGCGAGGAGCTCGGCGGGCCGGCTGCCGCTGGGGATGGCGCTGGCCGCAGAGGTTCTGGAGGTCGGGGAGGGGTGTGGCCGGTGCCAACCGTGGAAATGGCGATGCGATCTGCGATAACACAGCCGGAGCCCCCTTCCCATGAAATTAGCACCACACCCCCTCGATACCTTCCTGCCTCCAGAGAGATGCAGGGGCAATGCATCACCGGGATGTCGACACAGATCTCGATCAACCCAACCACGCTGCCGAGCAAGCCGCGTCTTCCAAGCGGGAGAGCAGGTCGCGAGAAGCCGACGGCCTCCTCAGTGCGAAGCTTGCGAAGCCGGCGAGGAAGTGGCAGAGCTGGGCGCGTTGCTGGACTTTACGCGATTCAGGAGCGCGACGAAACGTCTCGTCGCGAACTTCACGAGCAACCTCACGAATGCCCCATTTATACAGCCCTGTTGGCGAGGGGGAGACTTGCTCTGAAGTCGAGATCGAGGAGCGGCTGACAGGCAGACCCACAGATGTCGCAACGCATGCGCTGGTACTCCATCGGCTTGGAATCGCGCTGTGAAAATCTGCAGATCTGAGCGGCGTGATACCTGACAGTTTGCTCCGCCAGCGCTTCAGGAAGGCCGGCGACCCTCGGCTCGAAGACGAGCTGGAACAACGCCCAACCCGGAAGGCTGATCCAGGAGCGGCCGGCGCTGGATATCGAGTGCGCGCCAGCGTCGTAGTGGGTGGGCTCGTCCGACGAGACCTCCGCGACGGGCCCCCAGGCTCTCCATCCGCTTGGCGGCCAGAGGGCGCTGCCCTTTGCCGGCAGCAGCTCGGCGATGTGGTGGGCGAAGGAGAAGCGGAGACGACTGTGTGAAAGCGAAATCCACGTGTGGGCAACAAACATGCGCCTCGGCTGAATCACGCATGACAGCTCGGCGCAGCGAGCCCAACTCAGTCGGAGGCAGGTCTTGGCTGTGTCATGACATTGTACTGAACCAGCAGATGCGATGGTCGAGCACAACTCGCAGCACCCGCCCAAGAACCAAGGCGCCCAGAGAAATATTTGCAGGGCTTGCCGCTGGGAGGATTGTAGCAAACCCGCCCCTGATCGACGTGTCTGGGCAGAATGTTGCGATGACCGTCGGCTTGAGGGCCACACTCCCCGAGATGTCGCGGGGCTGAAGTTCATCTTGATGCAGATCTGGAAAGAAGGTGATGCCGCTGACGAAACCGATGCGCCTGAGGCACTGGAACTTCCACTGCATAAGCACCTCGGTATTGAAGACACGCTCTGGCGTTCCAAGTCGCGGAAGAGATCGAAGTACGGCCCGCGCGAGGGCCCCGACCCATATCGGCGATCGGGTCAGAGGCACCACTCTGCAACGCCTGGGGGCGCAACGATAGTCATGGCCGCAACGATAAGGTCCTGCTTCGGGGTCTTGAGCCCAGCGCCGACCTGATGCAGCATTGCCTGGGTAGGGGCTGATGCGGAGGAGAAGGCCCCAGTCAGCCAGTCGGCCACGATGCATCCACAATCCTCGTCGAACCAACCACCTGGCAGGCGAGACAACCTCCGCGAAGGCATTGCGATCTCGACGGCCTCGGACTCCCATGCGCACCTGCCTCGGGTTCCTGCCGGGGCCGACGCGGGACGAGCGGGAAGGCGGTCTGCAGCGTAGCCTCCGAGCAGCTGCCATGCACCGGGAGCCAGACGCTGGGCGGCGAGCACCGTGGGGAGACACGACGGGCAGCGGGGCCAAGGGGCCCCACGGTGATGCTCCTGCGCGCGTTCCCTGGGGCGGCGATCTCGAACTAGGAAGCAGGCACCTCCCCTTCAACCATCTGTTTGTTTCAGCAGCGCTACTCTGGAGGGGAGGAAGGGGGGGGCGGACCCAACTGCACGATGCCCAGCACGACGCGGTCGTGAAACCATTGAAGTGCCTCAAGCCCTGTGCACCCAAGTGGAATGACAAACAAGACAACGAGGACACGAGCTTGCCCAAAAACCTATCCAGCCCAAGGCTGCCCACACGATGTGAGATGGCAGATTTTGACTGGCCCATACGGCCATGTCAAAGAATCCAAAACACCGTGAGGAGAGAGGGATAAAGAGAAAGAAAAAGGAAGAGGAGGGAGGAAAGTAAGGAAAAGGAGGAAAGCTGGCCTCTCTTCAACTCCAAACAATCCAATCGTGCATGATCTGCTTGACCGCATCCAGACGGGTGAGCTTGTCGGCCATAACCCTGATGATGGACGGGTCGGTCTCGCGGTCGAAGCCGACAAAATTGACCCCGGTGGTGTCCGCCTTTGTCTTGGCGATGGCGGGTCACCCGCTGAGGTTCTTGATCTGGGAGTGGAGGGCAGCGACGGAGGCGTCGTGGTCGTCGGGGCGGGACTCCTCGGCCTCAGTGAGGATGGCGAAACAGTCGAACTGCTCTGGCGACTGCGGCTGATGCCGTCGAGTTGCTTGGCTGCCACGTTGTCGACCACCTTGGGCGATCACGAACACCGCCAGCAAGCTGAGCAGCGGATGCACCGTGCGCCGCGAGCTGCTCGGCGAAGGTGCTGGCGGCCGCGTCGACGGTCTTTGACATGGAAGCGAACATCAGGGAGCGGTAATGGGCCGTGGATGCGACCCCTGTGAACAATTGTTCAGGAAGGCGGCTGACGTACTCGTCGTTGGCGAGCTCATCTTCTCTCTCGGCAAAAAAATCAGCAAAGGTCAGATCGAAGCGAGCGGGGCGATGCTCACCCACATCAGGCTGACCCCTCAGCTTCTGGAGAAGCACTGGCTTCTGGAACAGCAGCACCAACCGCGGGCGCTTCCTTCCGGCGTCTGCTCCATCTCCGCCTCCGCCACCTCCTCCTCCTCCTCATCCTCCTCCTCCTCCTCCTCCTCCTCCTCCTACTCCTCCTCCTCCTCCTTCTCCTCCTCCTCCTCCTCCCCCTCCTCCTCCTCCTTCTCCCCCTCCTCCTCCTCCCCCTCCTCCTCTTCCTCCTCCCCCTCTTCCGGCTTGGAGCCTTAGGGCGCCAATTGGGCAACGCCGGGCGCAGGCGGCAGGAGGCAGGGCGCGGCCGCCGGAGGCTGGCCGCGGACCGGCGGCCTCCACGTTGCCGCTGGGCGGAACGGATCCTTGAGCAGAAACGGCTACGGAGGAGGGGAGGCAGGGAGAGGAGGAGGAGGAGGAGGAGGAGGAGGAGGAGGAGGAGGAGGAGGAGGAGGAGGAGGAGAGAGGAGGAGGAGGAGGAGGAGGAGGAGGAGGGAGGAGGAGGAGGAGGTGTTTAAATCCTCTGCTATGCTGGAGTCCCCAGGCCCCATACCCTGTGATCTGCGACGGCCACACACACACACATTGCTGCACACGTGGAGTACCCGGGCCACACGCAGGAGCAGGCACCCGCACCCCGGGCAAAGAAACGAGAACTGGATAATAAAGGCCAGTGGGCGTTTACCTTCGCGCTCTCGCCGCACTTCGGGTGGAGCCCCTCAAGGAACCTCCGGCGCCTGTGCAGCGCAGCTTCGTTCATCCTCCAGTCGGCTTTGCCGTGGGCTGGACACGGCGCTCCGAGACCACTAGGCTTACTCAGGGAGGGAGGGAGGGAGCTTGTGCAGCGCAGCTTCGTGCATCCTCCAGTCGGCTCTGCCGTGGGCTGGACACACGGCGCTCCGAGACCACTGGGCTTACTCAGGGAGGGAGGGAGGGACGGACGGACACCCCCACCCCGGCGACCAGCGGCTGGAGCAGGGCGCGGCTGTGCGGGCCCTGCACCGAGATCATGGCCATGGACTCGCTGCGGTCCTCCGAGCTGGCGCCCCGGCTGCAGGCAGGGAGGTGGGCGAGGAGGGGAGAGAGGGGAGCAAGGAACGGGGGCGGAAGGAGGAGAGGGCAAGAGGGGCAGGGAAGTGGGACGAGGGAGGGAGGGAGGGAGGAGGCGGCGGGAAGAGGAAGCAGGGAGGGGGGACGGAGGAGGGGAAAGGGGGGGAGGAGAGGGGGCTGAGCCGAGCTTGGCAGGCTCGCGCCATGTCTGACATCCTATCTCTCCCTTCCATCCCATCCCATTCCGCTGTTTTGTTCTCACTATCCGGGGACGCGTGTCGCACCCCGCCTGGAACTCAAAAAAAAGGATCGTGTAATGCGTAATCTGAAAATGGAAACTTGTGGGACCTGTGCGACATGGAGGACCTCTATGGCCTGAGAGGCCTGTGAGACCTGCGACACGTGTTGGACCTGTGGACCCTGTAAGACCTGTGGGAGCTGTGGGACCTGTGAGACCTGTCACACTTGTGGGACCCGTGGCACTAGCGGGACCTGCGGGACCTGTGTGACCCCTGTGTGGCCTGTAAGACATGCGACACCTCTGGGACCCGTGGGACCTGCGGGATTGTCGAACCTGCGGGACCTGTGGGGCATGCGGGACCGCGACACCTGTGGGACCAGTGGAGCCTGGCAGGCTCCCGTGGGACCCGTTGGACCCGTGGGGCCTGCGGGACCTGCGAGACCCGTGGATTCTGCGAGACATGTCGGATCTAAGACACGTGGCCCACGCTGGGGCGGCAGCGCCCTTCTGAGCGACGGGGGCACAGAGCCGATCCAGAAATGAGGCCCACGCTGCAGCGAGAGCAAACAATCCTTGAAAACCTGTAAGCCATCGCATTGTAAAGCCACATATGGAAAGTCAGTTCGCGCAGATCCAAAAGCGGCGCGGACGGGGGCGAGTACTCTCAGAACACAGTCGGTGCTTTTTGAGCAACCAAGATTGACAGACAAAGTATGTGGGGGATTTGCGCAGCAAAGCTCAATCAAAGACGCTCTATCGCCGTGCGCCTCGTGGCGTGCCTGCTGCTATCTTCGATCGCATGTTTCTTCTTTTTTCAGCACCACAGACACTAATCTTTGTCGAACAGTCGCACGCTTCAGGTGATCAAGGAACAGGTCTGGCGTTGAAAGACCATCTGGCGCACGGGAGGAAGAGAAAGACAGAAGAGAAGTAAGGAGAGGAGCAAGCTACAATACGAACAGAGCGAGAGCGCTAGAGCACTGCATTGAAGCCCCAGCGTGCGCCAACAAAGTGTGGCTCGTTTCTTCCTCCCAGCGGGGTCGGCTCGGGACACAGTGGGGAGACGAGGAGAAAGGAAGAGGGGGGAAATGGCGAGAACAGCATCAGCGGCCGACGGAAAAGGAAGACAGGGCGGGAAAGGGCGAGAGGGGCACGAGCCCAAGGCACGCATCAACGCGTGCAATCCGAGCAAAGCGGTCCACGTCTCGAGCCGAATCCGGAGCTGGGAAAAAGAAAAGGAGGGAGAGACGGGACTAACGACCAGACAGAGAAGAGACAGAAAGAACGGGAGAAGGAGGAAGAAAGACGGAGCGAGAATGAACCCAAGAGGAGTGGAACAATGCACCGCGCGTCAGCTGGTTGAACAATGGCGCTGCCACCTCCTGTCAAAAGCCCGGGCCAAGTTGGCGCGGCCCTGCGCCCCAACGTTGTACTAATGATCCCGAGCATCGGCACACTTCCAAACTACTGGGGGATGCGGCGCTTCCCGTCCATCTCGTGATATTGTCCTGCCCCTGATCCCAGGGCGAATTCGGGATGCCCAGTGAAGCTTCCTCGCAAATGTCTGGGACAACTCAGCCATTATCCTGATTCCAGCTCACATGAGGCGTCGTCATCAACTGGCTGTGAACTTCAAATGTCCTCCACCTCCTCCTCCGCCTCATCCTCTCATGCTTCCCCTCTCCTCCTCACCATCCCTTCTCCCTGATCGTTCTCCCCCTCCACCTCCTCCTGATCTTCGGATATGCCTCGAGGAGAGAGAAAGAAGGAGGAAAGGGTCCAGGGGAGGAGGGGGAAGAGGAAGACATCCCACCTGCCCTCTGGGCGTGAGTGGTCTCGGGAGCTCGTTCTGCTCAACCCCCTCCTTCCCCTGCGGGGAGGGGCCCCCCTGGGTCTGGACCCCCCCCCCCGCGAGGTGTCAGAGGGGCACCCGGTGTCTTCTAGAGGGCCCCAGAGAGCCCGAGACGGCCTCCAAGACCGCTCAAGATACCCCAAGGTGCTCCAAGATAACCTCCCACATGTCTCCAAGATCCCTTAAAGATCGCCCTGGGACGGCCCCAAGTGCTCGCGGAGCCTCCCAAGGAGGCCTCCAAGAGGTCCAAATCGGACACCATTGTGCGCGTCAATGCTTTTCCCAACCATCCGGTGGTGTCGGTGGTGTTGGGTCCTCGTTTTGACAAGACAGCGCCCCGACTCCTCACGCTTCCTCCCCCTCCTCCCTGCTCCCATCCAAGCCCCTGACCACCGAACGTCCATTTCGGCACACCCCTCACACATGCTGGGGCCTCGTAGTGAGCTCCACAAAGGCCTCATTGGCAACGATCGCATGCGGTTGCCCGCCCAGTCCGGCACACCCCTCACGTTTCTTGACCCCATCAGGAGCTCCACCGAAGGCCCTGGTGGCAGGGTACGCATGCGGTTCCCAGCCCATTGCTGCACACCCCTAACACGTGTCGTGGCCCCATAGGGAGCTCAACCGAAGGTCTCAATGGCAGGGTTCGCGTGCGGTCCCCCGCTCATTCCGGCACAAACCTCACACGTATCGGGGCCCCATAGAGAGCTCCACCGAATGCCTCATTGGCAGGGTTCGCATGCGGGCCGAACGTCCATGTCGGCACACCCCTCACACATGCCGGGGCCCCATAGCGAGCTCCACCGAAGGACCCAGTGGCAAAGTTCGCATGTGGTTCCCCGCCCAGTTCGGCGAACCCCTCACGTTTCTTGGCCCCATAGGGAGCTCCACCGAAGGCCCCAGTTGCAGGGTTTGCATGCGGTTCCCTACCCAGTTCGGCACACCCCTCACACGCTTCGTGGCCCGATAGGGGGCTCCACCGAAAGCGGTGCCAGAGCGCAGTGCTCACACTTGCACATGGTTGGGTCCTTCGCCAGTCGCTCCTGCCAAATGTTTGGGGAGGAGGGGGAGGACGACGGGGGTGAGGAGCAACAGCAGCATGAAGAGGGGAAACCGAGGAGGCAGACAAGGAGGAAGACATGGAAGAGGAGGACAAGGAGGAGGACAAGGAGGAGGGCAAGAGGGGAGACCGAGAAGGAGGGGACGGAGGACGATGAGGGGGTAGATGAGAGAGCGATGATGGGCTGGTATGCCTTGACCCCATACTGAGATGGACCCCGCCGGTATAGGGGTCAAGGCATACCCAAACATCATCGCTCCACCCTTCCGCCAGGCCATCCCCCAACCTCCTACCAGCCCCCCCCCCTCCTCCCGTTTCGGGGGGTGGCTCGTGAAAGGGTGGGGGCAAAGGAGGGACCAGATGGTTGTCCAACAAATGATCAAGGATCATGGCACCACCCAAGTGAGGTTGTGTGAGTGGGGGGGGGCGACGATCCTCCACCACTGCGTTGAAGCCACGCTCGTCGAAGACCCTCTTGATCCACTCCAGATCCTTGGTCACCGTGTTACCTCCAGCAGCAATGTACCTTCACAGCCCTCCTCCTCCTCCTCCTCCCCCTCCTCCTCCTCTTCCTCGCCGTCCCGTTTCCTCATCATACTACATGTGTGACCTGTTCCTTCTCCTCATCCTCCTCCTCATGATCAGGAGCGTCGTCAACGTCATCCTCATCCTCATCCTCATCATCATCATCATCATCATCATCATCATCAGCAGCATCATCATCAACAGCATCAGCATCAGCATCATCAGCATCATCAGCCAGCATCATCACCAGCATCACCACCATCGTCCAAAACACAATCATCATGATCACCACCACCGTTATCATCAGCATCATCATCATCATCATCATCATCATCATCATCATCCGCATCAGCATCATCATACGCTTCATCACCAACAATATCATCGGTATCATCATCTATGTAAACGTCGTCAGAATCATCATCACCATCATCAGTACCATCACCATCGTGATCGTCGTCACCATCAGCAACACGATCATCATCACCAAGAACATCATCATCGTCATCATCCTCATTATCATCGGCAGAATCGCCAGCATCATCGTCATCAGCATCATCAGCATCATCAGCATTACTATCTTCAGCGTCGTTGTTATCATCATTCGTCACCATCGACACCACCAACATCATCACAACCATCATCACAAACATCATCACTACTACCACTGTCATCATCATCATCATCATCATCATCACCAGCATCATCATCATCACCATCACCAGCATCATCAACATTGCATCGGCATCAGAATTAGAGTCGTCATCAGAATCATCGTCGTCATCACCATCATCATCGTAATCAGTATTATCGTTGTCGTCAGCACTGACGTCGTCAGCACCATCATTGACCTCATCATCACACCCAGTATTGCCATCATCGAGATCGGCGTCACCAAGGGCACCACCATCATCATCATCATCATCCTCATCACAATCGGTATCATCTTCATCACCACCACCATCGTCATCATCATCATGATCCTCGGCATTATCATCATCACCATCATCATCTGCATCATCAGCATCATTATCAGCAGCATCACCATCATTGCCATCGTCATCCCCAACATCTTGTTCATAATCATCATTATCAGCAACATCATCATCATCTGTATCATCGTCGTAATCGTAGTCACCGTCGATACCCCCATCAGCATCTTCACCAGCATCACCGGTATCATCGCAACCACAGTCATCATAATCATCATCACTCAGAATCATCGTTCGCGGCATCATCATCATCATAATCAACGGTCTCACTATCATTCGCATCAGCATCATCATCAGCATCATCCTAGTCAACATCGTCATCATCATCATCAGCATCAGCATCATCAACGTCGTCGTCATCATAACAATCATTTTGATTATCGTAATCGTCGTCACGGTCGGCATCACATCAACATCATCACCAGCATCACCACTACCATCATCATCCTCAGAATCATTAGCATCATCATCGGCACCTTCATCAATGTCATCATCATCGTCATCATCATGACCAGTATCATCATCACCACCATCACCATCACCATGATCATCACCACCACCACCATCATCACAATGATCATCATCACCATCACCAGCATCATCACCACCACCAGTACCAACACCATCATACTCATCATCATCTTCTCCGTCAGCATCGTCATCATCATCACAACCAGTACCATCCTCATCATTAGCATAATTGTCACCCTCACCAGCATGATCATCGCCATCAACATCAGCATCATCAATACACAAGAGCACACGATAACGAAATTCATCGTTTTGAAAATCTCTGCAAAATAATGCCGTTAACGCGGGGGTGGACGTGCTCAAGAAACTTGGCCAGTTTGACAACAAGTTGGTTAAGAAACGGTGGCCCAACATGTCGGGAGGACGTGTCTTAATCAGATGCCCGACTGCAACACCATCGGCACCACGATTTTCGTCATCATCATCACCATCATCACCATCTTCATCACCGTCGTCACCGTCATCCTCATCATCATCCTCATCAGTATTCATCATCCTTGCCCTCGGCATCATCATCATGATCAACATCATCTGCATGAGTATCGAAATCATCATTATCATCAACGGAATATCAGCATCATGATCCTCCCCTTTCTCCTCCCCAGCATGATTGTCATCATCATCACCATCACCGTCAGCATCGTGAATCACCATCACCATCAACCTCACGACCGCCACCACCGTTTTCATCATCATCAACATCATCACCAACATCATCATAATCCTGCACATCCTCATCACCACCTCCATAACCATCATGTGCATCATCATCATCAACATCATTCGCATACCTGTCACCATCATCCGCATCATCACCATCACCATCCTCATCCCCATCACCATCAACCTCATCATCATCATCATCATCATCATCATCGTCATCATCATCACAACCATCACTATCATCATCGTCATCATCCACCATTATCATCACCACCAGCATCATCATCATAGCCGTCATTACCTCATACTCACCAACGTAGTCGTCACCATCGGCACCACCATCATCATCATCATCATCATCATCATCATCATCATCATCATCATCATCATCATCATCATCATCCACATCATCACCGTCATCACCATCATCAGCATCACCACTACCTTCGTAATCCGCGTCGTCCTCGTCATCATCATCATCATCATCATCATCATCATCATCATCATCATCATCATCATCATCATCATATTCACCATCAACATCATCATCAGCAGCAGCAGCATTAGCACCATCATCAGAATCATCATCCTCAGCATAAACATCACCATCACCATCATCACCCCCTCCTCATCCTCATCATCGTCACCATCACCATCAACAGCATAATCAGCATCGTCAATCAGCATTATCATCATCACCCTTACCACGACCACCACTGTCAACATCATCAGCATCATCATCACCCTAAGCATCATCACCATCATCATCACCATCAACATCACCATCATCACGTGTAACATCATCATCATCGTCGTCATCATCATCATCGTCATCATCGTCATCATCATCATCATCATCATCATCATCATCATCATCATCATCATCACTGTCACCATCATCATCGTCATCGATCCCAACATCATGATCCCAATCACTACCATCACCAGCATCATCGTCACCATCCGCATCAACATCGCTTCACCAAGGGGCCGAGGAACAACGAGGAGAAGCAAGAGGACGAAGACGGCAGGCCCCAGCCGTGGAGGCCTCCCCGCTCCGCAGAGCGCAGCTGCGCCACCGCCGCCGGCCCGGGCCTGGGCCCCGGGCCTCTCGACGAGGACGGTACACACTCTTTTCCGTCGGCGGCGAGGCAGAGGCAGTCCGCTCCAGCGTGGGGCTAATCTCGAGCCGGGCGTGTCCCTCTACAGGGGGAATAATAAACAAAAATAGTCAGAAAATTCGCCTGACGAAGGACCCGCGTTCTGGGTCCATCATTCGGCGGGCCTCCCCATGGACCCACGAACCGTGTGAGGGGTGTGCCGAAATGGGCGGGGAACCGCATGCGAACATTGCCACTGAGGCCTTCGGCGGAGCTCCCTATGGGGCCACGAACCCTGTGAGGGGTGTGCCATCTTGTACGGGGAACCCGCATGCGAACTTTGCCACTGAGGCCTTCGGCGGAGCTCCCTGTGAGGCCACGAACCGTGTGAGGGGTGTGCCGCAATGGGCGGGGAACCGCATGCGAACTTGGCCACTGAGGCCTTCGGCGGAGCTCCCTATGGGGCCACGAACCCTGTGAGGGGTGTGCCATCTTGTACGGGGAACCCGCATGCGAACTTTGCCACTGAGGCCTTCGGCGGAGCTCCCTGTGGGGCCACGAACCGTGTGAGGGGTGTGCCGAAATGAGCGGGGAACCGCATGCGAACTTTGCCACTGAGGCCTTCGGCGGAGCTCCCTGTGGGGCCACGAACCGTGTGAGGGGTGTGCCGAAATGGACGGGGAACCGCATGCGAACTTTGCCACTGAGGCCTTCGGCGGAGCTCCCTGTGGGGCCACGAACCGTGTGAGGGGTGTGCCGAAATGGACGGGGAACCGCATGCGAACTTTGCCACTGAGGCCTTCGGCGCTCCCTGTGGGGCCACGAACTGTGTGAGGGGTGTGCCGAAATGGGCGGGGAACCGTATGCGAACTTTGCCACTGAGGCGTTCGGTGGTGCTCCCTATGGGGCCACGAACTGTGTGAGGGGTGTGCCGAACTGGGCGGGGAACAGATGGTGGTGCACAGATGCGCCGTCTGCGGATTCGCGCCCGCGCGCTCTCTCTCTGTAGGCAACCTCACGCGAACCCTACCTCCTGCAGGTCAGACTTCTGCGACGCCGGCCGGGGCTTCAGAATCCGACGGAGTCTTGGCTGCAGCCAGGGGAGCACAGGGGGGGGGGGGGGTGCATGCCTCAGCGTCGAGCGGACCCGCAGTGGTAGGGATTCGCCAGTGGCCGCAGGTCTCTGCCCCTGCCAGGCAGGGCCCCCGCGCCCCGCCGCGCCCACCGCCCGACGGGCGCGCCCATCCGCTCAGAGCTCCACGCTGCCGCGGCGGGCCCACTCGGCAGGCAGCGGCAGCGTGGGCCCCGCCGGGGGCCCGCCCCGCGGCGCGGCCGGATGGGGAGAGGAAGAGGCAAAACGGCACGGCACGCAGCCTGTCGGAGGTCCGCGCGGACTTCTCTGGAGGGGCCCTGGGGCACGCACATGAAGACATACAAAAATGACAGGAGTCCCCATATGCTCCCATATTTGTCTGGGTCTCTGTCTTCCCCCCCACTCCCTATATTTTCGCACATTTTCCCGGGAAGCGACGATGAATTGTGTCTGTGTGTGTGTGTTTGTCCCTCCTGATTCTGGGACCCGCGCTCACGAACTGAAGGACCCCCCCCCCTCCCCAGGGTGCGGAGCGCGCCGGGGGCGGCGCCAGAGGCGCCGCCGCGGGGGGGGCGCGCCCAGCGCCGGTCCGAGCAAGCCGCGCGGAGCCCCGAAAGAGGATGTGATGCCGCATGCCCCTATGGCTCTTCCTCGGTGAGGGGCCGCCGCGGGGCCCTTCCACAGCTCCGCGTCCAGGCACACGGCGCGGAAGACGAGGGCGGACACGCCGAGCACGAGCAGGGCGTTGATGCCCTGCTCCCGGGCCACCGCGGCCAGGGCGCTCTCTCCGGCGGCCTCCGGCTGCTCGCTCGCCTCGGGCGTCGCGTCCGCGCCGAGCCGCTTGGCGAGCCACTTGGCCAGCCGCGGCGCGTCGTTCTGCCGGCCGCCCGTCCACTTGCCGACGACCACGCCCTCGGAGTCTGCGGGACCCCCGCCTGCCTCAGAGGAAGCACAAGGACCACCACCACCGAGAGCCCATCGGGGGGCCCCACCGTCCATGGTTGCTCGGCGGCGGTGGTCCATGCTTCTCTTCTGACTGCCAGGGGGTTCAGAAGGCGCGTGAGGCAGTCGGCTGCTCCCCCTTCCCAGAGGTTCAGAAATGCCGTCTGAGGGTCTGGAGAGCTCAGAATCGAAAAGGCAAGTCGGATCGGCGATCGAAATGAATCGGATCGGCGGAAATCGGCAGCCGAGTCGAGAGAAGTCGGATCGGCGGACATCGGCAGGCTGGCAACGCCTCCGCTGGGAGACCGAGAGTCAAATCAGCATCCGAGGTCGAACGGAATAGGAATCGGAACGGATCGAAATCGAATCCAGTCGAAACGGAGGAGACGAGATCAGCCCTGGATTGGTGGCGAGCGATGGGGGGCAGTGAGAAGAAGAAGGCCCTCTCAGAAGGCGGCGGGGCTTCTCAGAAGCCCTTCGGCCTTCGGAGAAGTTCTCTGCGCCTTCGAAGAAGGCTTAGAAAACGTCTTAGAAGGATCGGGGACTCCCGAGCCTTCTGAGGAGGCCCGCCCCCTCTCACCTCCCCCGCGGGCGCGCCACCTAAATCTGTTGTGCGTTCGCAGGGTTCATGGATGGAAGGGTGGTGGGTCTGGAATAAGGAAATAGCCAGAGCAGGGGGAGAAGGAGAAGGAAGAGGAGGGTGAGGAGGGGAAGCAGGAGGAGGAGGAGGAGGTCGAGCGTGCCCAGAGGAGGAGGAGGAGGAGGAGGAGGAGGAGGAGGAGGAGGAGGAGGAGGAAGAGTAGGCAAATGGAGAGAATGCTGAGAATAAGAAGAGGACGAGAGGAGGCCCAGGGTGGACGCCTCAGACCTTCCCTACCCGGGCACGCCGCCGACTGGAGGCTCCGCCGCCGCCTCCGCTGGCACGCCGCACGAGGCCTCCGCGGCCCGCCGCCGCGGCCTGCCGCCGACGCGCCCCCGCGGCGCGCGAAGCCCGGCGGCGTTTGCTGCCGAGGCCCCCCCCGCGGCCTGCCGCTGCGCGGCGCGTGTCGGGTGCCGTGCCGCTCTCTGCAGCGCTCGTCGTCTTCGGGGCCGCTGCTCCTCTCTCCGTGTGTGCGTGTGCTGCCGCCTCTCTGTCAGGCTGCTGCTCTCTGCGCTCTCCCCGGCCCCGCCGTGCCCCGAGGAGGAGGAGGAGGAGGAGGAGGAGGAGGAGGAGGAGGGAGGAGGAGGAGGAGGAGGAGGAGGAGGAGGAGGAGGAGGAGGAGGAGGAGGAGGAGGGAGGAGGAGGAGGAGGAGGAGGAGGGTGATGACGCTCTCCCCGCGCCCCGCCGTGCCCCGAGGCGTGTCCCGCGCGTCCACGCCTCGATGCTCAACCGGCGTGTGTGTGCACGGGCCTCGGCTCCCCCGCGCCCGCTGCCTCTTTCTCCTTAGGGAACCACATGCGTCGGTCCATTGGGGCCGCCACGCCCCCCGTCACCAGTCGCAGGGCCCTCGTCGCCGTGGCCGCCCTCGTCGTGGCAGCCGCCCGTCCCTCGAACGCCACCGAGGAGGGGGGCGAGCCTGAAGTCGTGCATGTCCCTAGGAGGAATGCCCAAAAGTAGTCACACAATAATGTGGAGAAGATTGTTTGATTACTTGGGATCGTTTTTGATGTTCTGGACTATTTTAATTTTTCATTCAGAATCTGCCTGCGGGAGGACATGTCCGACCTAAGGCGAGCCGCTCCGCCGCCGCTGGCCGCCTTCGCCGCCGCCGCCGCCTTCGACGCCGTCGCCGCCGCCCCCCCCCCTTCGTCGTCGTCCGTCGCGGCCGCAGGCCAGCCGCTTGTCGGGCTGAGGTCAGAGAGCTCTTGAAGGCGTGGCCTGGCTACTCGGAGGCTCTCTGGGGTGCCCGCCGGACCCCCAGAGATTCGCAGAAATGGCGCGGGAGGGTCCCCAGAGCCACCCGAGGTCGGCTTCCAGAACGGCCCCCACGCTGGTCCCCCTGCGAGGCCCCGGAAAAGCCCACAGAGACTCCCAGGCGGCCGCACGGAGAACCATCCCCCAAGACGGCTCCAAGAGAGCCCAAGACTGTCCGAGCATTGTGGCCAAGGGCGTCACCATGAACGATCATTATGATCATCATGAACATCATCATCATCATCATCATCATCATCATCATCATCAGCAGCAGCAGCAGCAGCAGCAGCATCATCAGCATCATCATCATCATTAGCAGCATCATCATCATCAGCATCATCAGTCTCATCATCATCAGCAGCATCATCATCATCACCATCATCATCTGCATCTACATCTGCATCATCTTCATCATCTTCATAATCATCATCATCATCATCATCATCATCATCATCATCATCATCATCATCAGTATCAGCATCAGCATGATGACCGATATCATCATCAGTATCAGCATTGTCTTCATCACCATCATCATCAATAGCATCACCACCATCATCAGCATCACCATCATTATCAACACCACCATCACCACCATGACCTGAACCACAACCTTCATCATCATCAGCAGCATCAGCATCATCGTCGCCGCCACCACCATCATCACCTTCATCATAATCGCCAGCGCGATTATCGCCACCATCATCATCACCATTATCATCGTAATCGGTATCACCATCATCCAACTCTTCCTCATCAATTGCCCTGATCATCATCATCAGCATCATCAGCATCATCATCATAGTCACCATCACCATCACCATCACCATCACCACCACCACCATCATCATCATCATCATCATCATCATCACCATCATCATCGTAATCATCCATGGCCGCACTGATGAAGGTCGGCGGAATGGCACCAGCCTTTAACATACTGCTTGACATGCGGATAACCCTCGACCTCCTGGTCGTTACAGAGCTCCTTGTCGGTCGCGCAGTCTACCGTAGCGAAGCGCACGGAAGTGGTGAACAGATCCTGGTTCAGCTTGCCTTCCCACTCGCGCGACCAGGCCGAGTAGGGGTCCGCAATGCTTTGGCACGGCTCGTACCAGCTGTAGCAGAACATCACGACCCAGTTCTCAACGGGGTACCGAGTCGATGGGAGCACGGTCTGCGCAAAGGTGCGGCGGCCCAGGTGGAGCACGTGGTGCTGAGTGACGACCGCGTTCGGCTCCGCGAGATCTTTTTGATCCTCGATGAAGATGCCAGCGATCTCGGGTCGCTGGCGGCTCCTCTCCTTCTGCTGCTGGACGAACTGCTCGAACGCCTGCAGCGCGGCGGCCTGCTGCTGCGCGCTCTGGGGGGCCGCACCGCCGCCGGGCGGCGTCCCGCGGGCGTGAGTGGTCAGGAAGTCCTGGATCCTCCTGACGTCGGAGGCGTCCCGCACGACGGTCAGCGCCGTCATCTCTCCGGAGACGAACTCCATGCTGGCCCCATCGTTGTACAGCTGCACGCCCGCGACGTTGGGCATCACCTCCTCGCCGTTGGCCCAGAGGCCGACAAAGCCGCCCGTGCCGCGGAGGGAGACGACATCGCCCTCCGTGTCCGTCCACTCCACGCTCGGCACGCCGGCCGCAGCAGGCGGCGCCTCCGTCTGCTGCGCGTCGTCGGCCTGCGCCCTGTGACTGGCCGCCTGCTCGAAAACCTCTAGGAGGCGCTGCACGCCCGTCACCACGACGTTGTCGGGAGCGGTGGACTCCGCGCTGTACGTGAAGTCCTCGCGCGTGGAGAAGCTCATGTCCCTGCCGACGAACTGGGTGAACCTGACGTCTGGCAGGGCCAGCTCGCCGTCGCCGTAGAGGTTCAAGCGCCCGTCCTCGATCCTGAGGCTCACGGCGGACCCGTCCGTGTCCACCCAGTCCATCTGCAGCGGCTCGTGGTCCTCGGCGCACGCGACGCCGAAGCAGGAGAGCAGCAACGAGGAGAGGAAGGCGGCGCGGGCCGACGCGGGAGAGACTGCCATAGCCGCAGATCGCTGGCGTGAAGAAACCAACAGACGCCGATGCCGCTGCTCCACGGACCCCTCCCGGGCTGAAGTCTGACCAGAACCTCGAGGCGAGTCCCGCCGTGGGCACGAGGGCCCCCCAGGAGACCCAAGAGCGCGAAGACGGGGTGAGGTCAGCGGCATCGGTACCCTTCCTCCTCTAGCAGCGAATGTGGACAGCCCTGTGACGAAGTAATCAGGATGGAAATCGCTGGAAGTGAGGTCAGGAATCGCCAGGAAAGGTAGTCCCGGGCGGCTCGAGCCTCGGGCCGGCGTGAGTACAGTTGTGGATGCCATGACAATGGACACTCCAGAAATCCTATCACTGAAGTAAAGACGTTTAAGATTTGTAAAGACATGTTTTTACATCTAGATATATGACATGTGTAAAACATGTCTAAAATGTTCCACACAGTTGTTTTACATGTATATATATATAGATATACATACAAAACATGGTTGGAACATCTTTTAGAAACCTGTAAAGTATCTGGCAGCATGCTTCCTCTCCGCCCGCCGAAACCACACGAGCACAGAGGGCAAGGGCTCCCAACTTCGCGCTCCATCGCTGCGCGAAGCGCGAAGTGCGCATCCCTTCGCGCGCTCTCGCGCCGCCTCCCAGGGGAGCAGTGGAGGGCGAGGAGGCATCGGGGCCGAACCGCGAAGCGCGAAGCACTTCGCGCCCTCGAGGGCACCCCTGGAGGGAGAGAGGGGGGGGGCGCAGTGCAGGCAACCACCCAGCAGATCGTCACGCCGGCCAGCGCGCGGCCCCCGAAAAAAGGAGGGCAATGGGCCCCTTCGACGTGCGGCACGCTTACGATGACTTGAGGCCACCTGCGGCCAGATTGAGGCAATCCGGAAGCCTCCAGATGGGGCCCCCTGATGGTGGGGGTGCCGACATGGGCGGGGAACCGCATGCGAACTCTGCCACGGAGCCATTCGATGAAACTCCCAGTGGGGCTACCAAAAGCGTGAGGGGTGCGCCGAAACAGAGGCATACGGAGGGCAGAGGCAAGGATTGGAGGAGGGAGGCAGGTCATGTTGCATCCTGAAGGGGCCTTGAATGTCCCGTCGCGGCCCTATCCGCGTCGAATCCGTGTCGGATCCATGTCGGACTCGTCGGATCCGTGTCGAATCCGAGTCGGATCCGCGTCGAATCCAGGCGAAACCCGCGTCGAGTCCGCATCGAACCCGCGTCGGGCACGCGAAGAGACGCAAATTTTGGGGACAGGCGATGTCCTCCGAAGATGCAACATAAGGAGGGGGAGGAGGAGAGGAGGCTGGGGACGCGGGGCGCTGCCTCTCCAAAGCGAGGACCCAAGACAACAGTATGGTCGGAACAACAGGCACGAACAAGCAACGAACACACAAACGGCCTCGTCGCCACCCCTTCCCTCCGCAACTCCGTCGCTCCCCGTCTCCCGCAGCCGACGCAGCCGCCACGAAGCTGCTCGCCCGCGCCCGAGTCAAGAAAATAACATCATCCGCGAGCGAGCGACAAAGCCAAAGAAGCATCCCCCCGCCGTCGCCGACCCCAACCGCCCCTCGAAGGCCTCGCCCAGGGTGCGCGGCCGCGGCACCAGAGGCTGGGCGCAGGGCACCACAAGCTGCCCCCGTGGCCGACCCCGTCCAGGCGGGTCACCGTGAGGTCGGCCTGGGGCCGCGGGGGCGCAGCCCGAGGCCTCGAGGGCCTCGAGGGCGTCTCAGCAGGGCCCATCCGGCTCCTGTGGGGAACTCGGAAGGCACCGAGACCGCTGCTCCCCCGGCCTCTCCCGGGCTGCGTCCTGACCAGACTTCCGATGCGAATCCAGCGGTAGCGACGAGGGCCTCCCGGGAGGCCGAAAAAGACGAGAGCGAGGAAAGGGTAGCGGTATCGGTGCCTGTTCCTCTTCTGGGTATATGAAGCCTCCTTACATCGGCGTTACGAAAGTTTCGTCGCGACTTGAGATTTCAACATCTTGCGTTGGCAGGGCAAGATCCCGCCCGTTGGGATGTCTAAAAACTGTTTGTTTTACGCCGGGACATTATGTTGAAAAAGATGTAATTTTCTTGAATTGGGATCCGACGGGTGATCTGGTCTAGAGAGCCGTTCATACCCGCGAGCCACCTGGAGGGGGAAATTTCGCAGAAGGCCAACTTGCGGAACCAAATCAGCCAACGATTTAGAACACATGCTCAGAGATCGAATTTTCGCGCGGACCTCATCGCGCCAATGCCATAACGCACGAACCAAGACCGCGCGCGCAACCCGCCCTCCACAGACTCCGACCCGCAAACCCAGCATGCGACATGCGCAGCGCATCCGTTACATTACTATGCCTCCGCGGTCGAGGCCCGTCCCTGCAAGCGTCGCACGCGGTCTTCCCGGGGGGGCCGCGGGGCTGAGGATCGCTCGGCCAAATTATGCGCCCGCGGGGCACTGATCTGCAAGGCCACAGGGCCGTCGGCGCCTTGGGTCTCCTGGGCCACCAAATCGCGCGAGGTGGACTGACAATCGCAGCGCAACTGGGTCGCTGGACCCGCGCGCCGCTGCGCCTCTGGGCCGCGAGGCAACTGGGCCACCGCGCCATCGGCACTCGGCTACTCGGCCAGTCTGCTCCCGGATCAGGCCCGCCGGGGCAACGGACCACTTGCCCAACGGGCCGCATGACCGCTGCGCAATTCGACCCCCCCCTCCCCTGGGGGGCAGCCGCTGGTTTCGCCCGGGGCTGGTTTCGCCCGGCTGGATTCGCCTGGCCGGTTTCGCCCGGAGCTGGTTTCGCCCAGGCTGGTTTCGCCCGACGCTGGTTTCGCCCGGGCTGGTTTCGCCCGGCTGCTTTCGCCCGGCTGGTTTCGCACGGCTGATTTCGCCCGGCTGCTGGAGGAGGTGCAGGAGGAGGAGGAGGAGGAGGGAGGAGGAGGAGGAAGAGGAGGAGGAGGAGCACGAGGAGGAGGAGGAAGAGGAGGAGGAGGAGGAGGAGGAGAAGGAGGGGGCAGGACTAGGAGGAGGAGAAGGAGGAGGAGGAGGATGTGGGGGAGGTGGGGGAGCAGGAGATTGAGGTGGAGGTGGTGGAGGAGGTGGCTGAGGGAGGACAGGACGGAGGGAGGAGGGAAGAGAGCTAGGGCCGCCAGACCCGACCCGACCCGACCCGCCCATTAGGGTCCGCCCGTCCCGACCCGACCCGACCCGCCCGTTAGGGTCCGCCCGACCCGACCCGACCCGACCGTTAGGGTTCTCGCGTGCTCTCTCTCTCTCTCTCTCTCTCGATTATGCACCAAACATTCATGTCCCGCCCGCCCGACCAAACCCGCCCGTTTGGGTCCGCCCGCCCGTCACGACCCGTCCCGCCCGTTAGGGTCCGCCCGACCCGACCCGACCGTCAGGGCTCTCGCGTGCCCTCTCGATTATGCACCACACTTGAACGTCCCGCCCGCCCGACCCGGCCCGCCCGTTAGGGTCCGCCGGACCCGACCCGACCCGACCCGCCCGTTCGGGTCCGCCCGTCCCGACCCGACCCGTCCCGCCAATTAGGGTCCGCCCGACCCGACCCGACCCGACCGTTAGGGCTCTCGCGTGCTCTCTCGATTATGCACCAAGCTTTAATGTCCCGCCCGCCCGACCAGACCCGCCCGTGAAGGTCCGCCCGTCCCGACCCGACCCGACCCGACCCCCCCGTTAGGGTCCGCCCGACCCGACCCGACCCGACCGTCAGGGCTCTCGCGTGCCCTCTCGATTATGCACCACACTTGAACGTCCCGCCCGCCCGACCCGGCCCGCCCGTTAGGGTCCGCCGGACCCGACCCGACCCGACCCGACCCGCTCATTAGGTTCCGCCCGTCCCGACCCGACCCGACCCGCTCGTTAGGGTCCGCTCGACCCGACCCGACCCGACCCTTAGGGTTCTGCGAGAAAGCGTGAGCAAGGGGCCCCTGGGAGAACGAGGAGGAAGAGGAGGACAAGGACAAGGACAAGGAGGAGGCGGAGGACGACGACGAGGACGATGGGGAAGGGAAGGACGAGGAGATGGACAAGGAGGAGGAGGAGGAAGAGGACCACGAGGAGGAGGAGGAGGAGGAGGAGGAGGAGGAGGAGGAGGAGAAGGAGCAGGAGGAGGAGGAGGACGAGGACGAGGAGGAGGTGGAGGAGGAGGGCCAGGAGGGAGAGGCGGGGAGGAGGAGGAGGAGGAGGAGGAGGAGGAGGAGGAGGAGGAGGAGGAGGGAGAGGAGGAGGAGGAGGAGGAGGAGGAGGGAGGAGGAGGAGGAGGAGGAGCGAGGAGGAACGAGGAGGAGGAGGAGGAGGACGAGGAGGAGGTGGAGGAGGAGGGCCAGAAGGAAGAGGCGGGGAGGAGAAGGAGGACAAGGAGGACGAGGACGAGGAGGAGGGGGGAGGACGAGGACGAGGAGGAGGGGGAGGAGGAGAAGGAAGAGGAGGAGGAGCGAGGAGGGGGAGGACGACGACGGCGACGGCGACGACAACGACGTCGGCGGCAGCGGACTCGGCGAGACCAGCCCCGGCGAAACCAGCGGGGCGAAACCAGCGGGGCGAAACCAGCGCCGGCGAAACCAGCGCCGGGCGAAACCAGCGCCGGCGAAACCAGCGTCGGGCGAAACCAGCCCCGGCGAAACCAGCCCTGGCGAGACCAGCCCCGGCGAAACCAGCCCGTGCCCCCTGGGGTCAGGGCCGCCAGGAAAGTGGCCCCCAGCCCGCCGCGCACCGATGACTCCCGCGCCCCCTGGGCCGCTGGCGCACCTAGGCCACAGGGCTGCTGGAGCATTTCTGCAGCAGGGCCCCTTGCCGCAATCAGCCGGAGTGCCCCAGACCCACCGCTTCATTGGGTAACAGAGCCCGTGCTCCGCGGGGTTGCTGGGGCGCCTGGCAGGCGCGGCCGCTGGGCCTCTCGGCCGGAGGCCGTCGCTGCGCCGCTCGCCCAGCGGGCCACTCGACATGTCGGGCGGAACTTGTCCGCGGGGGCATCGGGCCAGGGGAGGGGGCGGGCGGGGGGGGGCCCGGGGCGAAAGCCCGCTTGTTGTTGGGCCGCTGTCGACGCGGACCACGCGACACGCGCGGCGCGCGGGCGCTCGGCCACGCGGCCTCCGGGTTAAAAAGACACTGCGCCATCGGACCAGCGCGCCACGTGGCCAGCGGGAGGGGGGGGGGCCAGTCAAACGCGCAACTGCGCATCCTGGCAACTGGCAGCGCGTCGTCGACTGGCGCGCGGCGACCGCGCCACTAGGCCGACCCGACAGACCACCAGCACTGGAACATTGCAAGTGGGGCAACTTGGCAATGACAGCAGCAGCCGACGCGCGAAGCGGATCACTGGCCGCATGCGCCACGCGGCCATCGGCGGCAGAATGGGCGAGCGCGGGCCACTCCCGAGGAGAGGGGGCGCGCGGGCTCGCGGCGGCCAGACGCGCCGAGCGATGCGCCGTCGCCCCTGGCGGGAGCACCGAGGGGACGCACGCGGCGATCCAGACCACCTCGCGCGGCGCGGCGGGCGCCCGGAAACCTCGAGGCGCCGCGGCGTGGATTCGGGAAGGAGCGGAAGGGCGGGGGCCCCTGCTGAGAATCTCTGCGGCTGCCGCAGGCCGTGCCGCGACGGGAGGAGCAGCGGGCGCGCCGCGCCGAATTCGCGGGCGGGCGCCAGGCGAGTCTCGCGGCCCCCCATGGGCGACGGGCGCAACGTCGACGCGCGGGAATCGCGCGAGAGCCTGGGGGGGCGCGGACTGCGCCGAGGCGTTTAAGACTCGCAGCGGGGTCGAGCGCTCCGCGCGGGATGGCCGAAATCAGAGACGGACCCCTGCCGCCGCGAGTCGAGTCACCAAGAAAACTCGACGCGGGACGCGCGAGATACGTCGGGAGCGCAAAATCGCACGCGCAAGTCGCCCGCGCGAGTTTGACGGCCTTTCCGCGAGCTGCCACAATTCTTGAGCGCAATAATTTTGGCGCGGCGACGCAGTCGTAATTCTTTAGTAAAGAAACAATCGTAAAACTTCCCAGTGCAAAATCTGTGGAGCTCCAAAAATTCCCCGGCAAATAATTCGCGGCAAACTTTCCGGGCGCGGAAATTACGTCGCGCGCCAAGCCGACGCGCCGGAGGCGCGACGCGAGCCCGGCCGGCGAGGCCCACCGTCAAATCTTGCGACCTGGATGGGATGCGGAGCGCTGCCCCCCGCAAGGCCCCACGCAGCACCGCGCTGCCGGGCGGGATGCCGGGCGCTGCCCCACCCAAGGCCCCACGCGGCGCCGCGCTGCCGGACTGCCCAGGCAACGCGCCGGCCAGATCGCCGATCCGACCGCAACGCGGCGTCGCGGCGCAGAGTCCAGCGCGCCCGTGCATGGGGGGCGCGCGCCCTGAGGCCCGGCAGCGAGATTGCCGCGCGACTATATAAGAGCCTCGCGCGCGATGCATGCGCGAGCAGGAAATGCGGCCATGTCGCGCCTGCGCCGTCCGTGCCCAAAATCCCGATTCGCTTGCGAGGCTCCCATGGCCATTCCCGCGCCAGGCCGCCGCGCGATTCCGCGCGCCCAGAGGCCGATCGGCAAAGTTGCCCGGGGCCCCCGCCTCCCCAGAACCAGGGGGGCCGGCGGACAAGTCGCGCAGTCTCACGGCGGCGCGACGGGTCATGTGCCCACTCGCCGAGCGGAGAGCGGAGGCACTCAGCGCGCGCCAC